CTTGGGGCAACAGAGCAAATCCCTCGGTGATTTATATGAGAGAGTGTGACTGCTGGGTTCTGTGTCAGCAAGCCAGGGAATAATAGAGCTCCAGGGCTGTACACAAACTCAGGCACATCACAGTAAATCAAGCCTGTCATTTTTCCCCCCGGCTGCATCTCCCACTGAACTTCTCTCCCAGCAAAAATCATACGTTCTGCCCGGAGAAATCCGATCTCGTTGCCCAGCCTCCTCTGTCAAGTCCATGTCTTGTTTTGGTTTGCGTCACGGTTGTTCAAGGGTAGAGGGGATGGAGGGGGGAGAGTGGGTGGGTGTGGGGGGGGAGAAGTCACTCACTGGGAATGTGGTATTTTAATGGGGGAGGAGGGTGGGAGAGCGGGAATGGGGTAGCAATTGTTTCAATTAGAAATCCTTTCTATACGGTTCATGTTGGGAGGACGTCCCAAAGTGCTTCACGGGGTTTTAACGTAAAGTGGAATGATTGCGTGTTCTGTGGGCAAACCCGGCAGCCAATCTTGCGCACAATGACATCCCGCAAACAGCCGCGAAGTCAATGACCGATGTTATCCGTGGGATTCTCGTCCAGGACATCAAACGAGAAACTCGCCTCTTTCTTCCAACAGGTACAGGCGGGAATTTCTTTGCACGCCTCATCCAAAGGACTGCGCCTCCGACAATGCAGCTCTGCCCCCTCACCCCCCCCCCCCCCCCCTCCCCAAGCTGGATCGTCAACGTGGAGTGGGGGTTCAGAGTCTCCGACACTTTGATTAATAACCTGACTAGAGAAACAGAGGAGTTGGGGGTGTAGGGAAGTGAAGGCAAACTAGTTAACTAAGACACCTTCGTAGGGTTAATAAATAGACAAATGACTGGGCATATGACACATCTAACCCCAGATGATTCATGCAGGAAGCTGCAGACAATACTTTGAAAACTCTATTAATAATCAACTAGGTCAATTATAACACCTATATTATTAATGGCCCCTTTGAATGCTGCCGGATGACAGTTACCATCCAAATAAAAGTCTTTCATTGCAACAAACGGAGATGAGAGGGTGGATGTGTTAGTTTATTGCGGGGGGGTGTGTGGTGGGGGTGGTGGGGGGGGAATAGCGAGTGAGATCAATATTTAAGGGTGTTTAAGTTGGAGGTTAAATAGCCCGCCCTTGTTGACATGAACGTTAACTGTCACACGGGGATAAGAGGACAAAGGAATGCTTCAGAGAGTCAGTACCTGGGTCACATGTATGTCTGTCCCGTGTTCCGCTGCAACACGTACCACTGTCACTAGCGGAATTATACAGCAAAGTGAATTGACCGCGTGTTTTGCGGGCGAAACGCGGCAGCCAATTGCGCACAGCGGCGTCCCACAAACAGTCGTGGATGGAGTGGCCGACTTACTTTATTTTGTTTCGTAGGAACGTGTACCCCGTCACGTGTGTCTCAGTCACTCTTTTTCTGATAGCGCCACAGGATCAGTAACATCCACCTGTTCAGAGCCATTTGGGTCCTCAATTCAACATCTCATCTGAAGGACAGTGCCGCCAACAACACTGCAGTGCCCCCAGTATACTGTGCCAGAGCTCAAAATTTGGGCTGTCAGCTCAAAGTCCTGACGTACCCACGATCTTCTGACTCAATAGGCGAGAGTGCTACCAACCCGAGCCAAGCTGGCATCTGTTTACCCTAGTCACACATCCTCGCAGTGGCGGTGTGTACCTGGCAGGCGTTGTCAGCTTTGAGCATGTGGTGGATTCTCTCCAGCAGGAACTGAGGCTATCTTTCGGTCCATGAGTCTCGATACGTACAGGACAGGAAATCAATAAACTGCAGCTTCAACCCACCAAAGCACATCAACACAAGTGAGTGTTTGAGCGACGGTATCTCTGCTTGAGTCAACAGGTTAGAGAGAAACAGAGGAGCTTCGGATAAGGACACGGAGTCAGTGTGGGATACTGAATGAGTAGATAGTGAGTCCTTCAATGGATCCATAACATAGCCAAGACCAGATAAAGATATGGTCAGACTCAGGTGCGTGATTGGAAGGGGGAAGGAATCACTGGGTGTGCAATACAGAGGGAGGGAAGCAGAGAGAGAAGGAAGGAAGGGTGGGAGATGACTGGATCACAAAGATTGCCCTGGGCTGTATGGGTCAGTCACACCAAACAGTGTGATTTCCCACTGGGCCGCTAGGGGGAGATATGGGTTCCAATACACTGTCTCTTGAAGCAAACCCTGGGGCAGGTTTCAAGCCTGGGTTGGAAGTACTTGCTACGACTTATCACCACGCACTTTTACAAGGCAGAGGTCGGTGCGTCTGAGACACACCAGCCCGCCAATAAGAGACAACGTCATTATAGACTTACAATGTGCTTTGAAACGAGCCTTATCCAACAGTGAAGACGTTAAATAAGAAGCAGCGCGATGGAAGGGGTTGGGGTATCGATTTATGGCCATCGCCAAAAAGGGAGAGATGAGGAGATGACTTATTTTTACACAAACACGCAGCGTTAAAGAGCACCAGCACAGGTACAGTGGGTCAGACGGACTCCTCTGCCGCGATCTGCTCGGGTAAGGGGGCCAGCGAGGTGAGGCTTTGTGCGCTGGCTCAAGCCTGGGAAGGTCGATTAAATACCTGGGTGAATCGCTGGAATATTTGTACTGCGCTAAGGTGTGCCAAACCATCCTGGGTCCAACTCTTTCAATAGATGTTATCAGCAAGAGAAAAAAATCAATGCCTCGCATCCTTTTCGAAAGAGAGAATCTGGACTTTGTTTTCCTCACCCATGAGATGTCCTTCAACTGAAATTTGGAGATTATCTATAGTTTTATTATATGGCAGATGTCTCCATGAGCACGAAGATAGCACCTGGATCCTTTTATCATGCCGTCTCTCCCTCCCTCTATCCGAGCTATCAATAGGAAGAGGCATTGGATAGACAGGTTAAAGATTGTGCACAAATTAGTGTTCATGTCATTCCTCTCTACATCCTTTCCAATTTTTCAGCTGCATTCAGATACCTGTGACGCAGAGTAAAACCGCTGTGTGCGTTTCACCCACAGTATATTCCTTGAAGCGCTTTGAGACGTCTCGAAGACGTGATAAGGCGCTATATCAAATGCAAAGATTATATTATTATTGTCGTCCGTTTACAGATGCTCCCTAACAACGTTAAAAGCAATGTTACTGAGCTGAGCTGGCTTGCAAAGGAGATTCTGCATGATATATTAAACTATATATTAAACAATGTTATGTTTGTTGAGTTGTAGATTATTATCTTCTTGTTTGGACTGAGCCATTCATTTAAGTCCCGTCTAGCTCGCAATTAGGGCGGACATCAGTTGTTGTTGTTGTTGTTGCCGAGGTGGGTGGGGGGGAGGTGTCTCACTCCCTCAGGAGCCAGTACAGACAGACAGACAGACAGACAGACGGAATGTCACACAGGAATGTCTCACTCATCGCTGCTCTCAGTCAGACCTATCTGTGTGTAGGGGTGAACGACTTGACTATTTACGGGTGTCTCACCTGAATACACGGGCAGTGTGTGAGAGAGAGAGAGAGAGAGGGAGAGACTCATTTAAATAGCTTTTGAGTAATGTACCTCTAATATTATGTCGCAATAAGTGCTATTTAATGGTTTTTAAATAGGTGATTTCTGCTGTAACACATTTATATCCGAGAAGAATAGGCAGAGAGTCGAGATGGCCTGGAGCGAGGCAGCCAGAGAGATTGAATTCTCTGTCTTGGTAGAATGAGTCTGAATTAACCCTGTGAGCTTCCTGGGACCTCAGTTGTTCATCCCAAAGCCCGCCAACCCCCTCCCACCCCCCCCCCCCCACTCCCACCCCCCTTCCCACTCAAACTCCACACCCCCACCCACTACCTGGGACTGAGTGACACAGAGTAATGCACACGTGGGAGTGAGTGACACACTCAGTCTGAATCCCCGACGACCTCGATGAGAGAGTGTTACGAACCCTTGTGATGGCAGCAAGACAGGGAGTCAGGACCATACACAGTGTACCTGCACTAGGTTGCTTGAAGCAGGTGTCGGGGTTTTACTGTGTATTGTGCGAGTATATTAATTAGTTCACTGGTACGCGATGGTGTGTGTGTGTGTGTGTGTGTATATGCGTGTGTCTTGGAGTGGGGAGGGGGGAGAGGGTATAACACACAAGGAAGGAATATCGCCCTGACGGCAGGATCCTGAGAGAAAAGGAAACACGATTGTGCAAAGCTCGAGTCACGTGAGTGTCCGTTATATAATGGTCATTGTTGTGTTGGGTTGAAAACAATGCTGGGATTGTCCAGCACAGGACGGACACTGAGCAGTTTTCCCGGTCTTATCGAAACACTGTTGCTCCCACAAAAAGGACTCTCTCTCCCTCTCCCTCTCTCTCTCTCACCTCCTTTCCCTCCCTCTCTTTCTCCCTCTCTCCCCAATGGGCGAGCTATACGATTTTAGCTGGTTAGACTCCCAACAGTTACCCCCAACTCACACTCCGGGGTCCCTCAAGCCTTGGCTCTTGCCAACCTGCACCTAATAATTTCCGGAATCAGGTCAGTTGGATGCTTCCCTCCAGGGAGAGAGGGCGCATTCCATTCCAACAATCTATCTCTTGGATGTCCACGTGTCGGTGGGATGCATGGAATTCTCAGTTTGGTTTGGAGACTCTTAAGCTACGGTGATGGGTTTCCGCATGTGTCAGACAACCGGTTGGTCTCCTGACTCTATCCCCCCCCCCCACCCCCCCTCCCACCCCTGGCCATTCCACTCGGCAAATGTGCTTCCACTTCCCGAACGGAGCTTTGCCCCTTGCTCGGATTTCCTAATTAAGAAATCCCTTAAGAAAACCAACGCAAAATGTCCCCTAGCGAAATTCAATTGAACAAAAAAAAGGATTTAACGTTACAAAAGCAATCAGACAGTTTGAATAAACCCCGATCACGACAATGATCGATTGATTGATCGATCGATCGATAATATCCAGACTGACCTCCCATCCGAAGTTCGGATCTTTCAGCGTTGACCTCTGAGCTCCAGTGTAGGGGCCGAATTTCTCTCCCACCTCTTTCTTCCTTCTGGCCCAGATCCCTAACCCTGCTCCGGGGATGGACGATTCCCTCAGCTCAAAGTCAGGCGGGATTGGAATGTCTTCGGGAATGTACACGGGGGCTTCGTACGGAGACCCCTCCTTGGGGGTGAACTCGTCGCTGGTGGGGAGGGGGGAAGGCGGCCCCACTGGGATGGGGGACATGATGCTGTCTTCGGTCTCCTCTTCGCCGCTGTCCCCGGCTGGTGGCTCGGGATCTGTCTCGTACATGTTATCCACCACCTCACTGTCACCTGGACACACACACACACACACACAGAGGAGAGAGGAAACAGCACCATTAGAACATGGTTGGCTTTGACTCACACAATCAACCCACTTTACAGTAAATCCTGCAAAGCGCTTTGAGACGTCTCAACGACGTGATAGTGCAAGGATTATCACTATCACCATCCGAAGTCTGAAATTCCACTTCATCTTAGCCCCAGGCAAACTTTTGGGACAAACACCAGGAAGTAATTCACCGGGAAGGGCGGCCGGCCGGCTTGAAAGCCGGGACTCACTTAGGAAATAGCTCGACGCTGTGATGGGATGATGGTCGAGCGGTGATGGCGTGAAGTGGGTGGGAGGGGGGTGGCGGGGTGGGTCGGGGGAACGATGGGAGATATGAGATCAAATGGACTGAAGGGACCTCTTCGCCTGGAAAAACAACAACAAGAACGACAAAAACAAATGGCATTTAGAGAGCGCCTTTCGCGTCGGGAGGACATCCCAAGGCGCTGCGAGGAATCTTGTGACTTTTTGAAACGGCTTCCAAATTACGGCTGAATTCAAAAATGTCACGGAATTTTACGGCAGCTTCGGTTTGCATTCGAAAACAAAACGTCCCTCTCGGGCTAAAATCGGGTGGAATTTCAGGCCTGCGATGATGAGCCACTATGGTTTACCACCACATTCTTAAGGAGCCACAAATGAAAGCTCTGTGTTTTGTGGGTGTGGTTTGTGGGGGAGGTGGGGAAGGGAGCTGTTTGTGGTGGGGTGGGGGGTGGGGGAGATTACATGGCTGGAGATGTGGTTGTGCGGAGTCAGTCAACGGGTGCAATTTGTACTTGTTATAGTTCCATCGCAGACTGTAATCATTTGCTAACTAGTCAGTAATTAGCTGCGGTTCCATCTCTCTGTGTATACACAGGGCTAGAACTCACATAGCTCTGTCCATCTCTCTCTCGCTCTCTCTCTCTCTCTCTCACGCTCTCTTTCGCTCTCTCTCTCAATGCCTTTGCCCGCTCGCTCAGCCTTTCTGCTTCCACTACACCGTCTGTCCAGATCTCGAGGAGTTGTATCTCGGTATATCAATGACTTGCATCGATACAGCGTCCTTCAAGTAGGATAGCGTCTCAAAACGCTGCACAGTGCTGGAGCCAAACACCGAGCTAGGGCGGTGGTGGAGGGGAGATGACCTTAGGTGTGGCCGAAGAGGAAGTTATTAGCTGGGATTGAAAGAGGGAGCGAATGGGGCAGATGGATTGAGACATGAAATTCCAGATGTGAGGGGAGTAGTGGCTAAAGGCACAGCCACCGATGATGGCAGCACAGATGGAGGGGTGGGAGGATGGCCTTGTGGCTAAGAGCAGGGGAAATTTTGTATCTTTCAGGTGTCTTTCGAGGGAGGGGGTGTATGTGTGTGTGTGGAAAGGGGTGGGTCAGGGGATCCTGGTTTGCGATTCCCTCTCTTGGCTCCCGGTCACTGATGTCAACTGTACATCTCAGTGCTCTTAAAGCGAGTCACTGTATTGAGCTTCAATCACTTGGCTCTGTGTGTGTGTGTGTGTGTGTGTGTGTATATACAGTGCAAAGCTCTTAATAACCGGACTTTAAAACATAACATGCTCGTGGCTGAGAGAGAGAGAGAAAGCCTGGCAGCATCTGATCCAACAAGAATAGGGTAGTTTGCAATTTACCAATTAAATACATCCCCCACATACTCTGGCTGAAAATGTAAAGGCATTTTTCTCCAGAATAGAATGCAATGAACAATCACATCTTTGTGGTAACTGTGAGAGAGAGGAGCCCAGAGGTGGGCATGTATTTATGACCAGCCTTTGATGGAATGGGTACATGGCACTTTCTACTGAAAGCGAAGGGTTGGCATTCAATGCCTAGGGAAGTTGGGCAAAGAGCAAAGCTTATATATAAATAAGTGCATATATATATGTATATATGTGTATATATAAAATCCTCTATGCCTGTTTCTTCATCATACCTCAGGCAAATCGCAGGCTAGGGACAAGACCTCTTTTCATGTGCCAGCTCGAACTGCAGTTTAAGGCTTTTGAAAAACACAGGCTCTGCACAATATTCCCCTTGTCTCAGACTTTCCATGACATCCAGACTGGCGTTGAGGTGTTGGATTTCTTTCTTAACCCCCCCTCCCCAACGCCTCTCACCCCTCCCCGAGGTAATTAAATGGGATCGCTGCGTTCAGGCACTGATTCCGATCTGATCATTACGCCCCGTGTCTCGGAACCTGGAACCTTGACTCCTTTTTCCTGTCCTGTGCAGAGACTCACTCCTCCTCTCCTCCACCCCTCCAACCCCCCCACACAGTCCCATCCTCACCAATATCCACATACAGTAGCACAACACCTAAGGGTGGTGGGGGGGTTGGGGTGTGTGGGAGGGAGGCAGAGGGGGATAGGGGAGGTGGGATGGGGACGCAGGAAACAGGGACCTTTACATAGCGATTTGCGGCCCTGATATTTTCCATGTCCTTAGGCTCAAAGCTTTGGTCTTCAAACTGATGAGAGATCAGAATTTCGAAAAGAAAACTGTCCAAAGCTCGGTTTGAATTTCAAAAGGGAGCACGGAAAATCTGGAATCCAGGTTAAAACTGGATTTAAGGTTTTTGTTTTTCCTCCCAAATTCCACGTGATTTCCCAGTAGTAAGATAACAGTCCTGCGCCTAAACTGGGTGGGAAATCCAGTTGATTTCTCCCCCACACACCCCCCCCTTTCCCTCTCTTTCTGAACTCAACTTCAGAGACCAGCAAACTCCTAGGAAGCGGGCTCTAACCCCACTCTGTGCTGAGCTAACTTGATCGAACAGTTTGAGGATGCGATGGGTGCAGAGTAGGGTTGGGATTCTGGAAGAAGGGGATCAGATGGGTTGCAGTGCCTACTTCCTCTGAATATCATGGATCCTCTATGTGTTCTGTACACAGGACGGGTGCATGGCTACCACATTGCAATAGGTTGGGTGAGTTCTCAAACTGCTGTCCACCTGATCGGCAGGGGTTGATCACAGCACACAGCCAGCTGTCCCACAGCGGAGGATAACTACTGACTGAGCTGGGCTGATGTGTGGCTTGTCCGTGGTGATGGGGTGGGTGGGGGGGGGGGGGAGAGGATGTGTTGGAAAAGTAGTTGTGTGAGAAAGGGTTAACAGGGGACCATTGGAAGCAAAGACCCAACAATCCTTGGGTGAGTGAATGAGTGAGTGAGTGAGTGAGGAAGTGAGTGAAGGAACGAAGGAACGAAGGAACGAAGGAACGAAGGAATGAATGAATGAATGAAGGAACGTGAATTGTTAACACATCTCTTGTCAAGCGGTATTCCGTGTTTTAAAAGCAGCGAGGCATACAGCGGTCAGTAACCACACCACTCTCGGGCGGAATCATCCGGAAGCCCCCAGGATCCCAGCTGGCCGGGGAGGGGAGTCTCTCAACGTCGCTTTATAATCGTTTCAGGAATTAAAAATTAGGCGAGTGTTTAATAATGGGGGAACTGGGAAAGACGATAGGACTCGAGGGGGTGGGCTGGCTCAGTCCCACTCCTTCTTCAAAGCCGATGTGCTCCCGTATGAGCTCTCGCTCTGTCTCTCTCTCTCTTTCCCTCTCTCTTTCCCTCTCTCTCTCTCTCTCCGCTCCGGTCTAAATCAAACTGGAAAATCCCCCAGTTTGAGAACACGACCAGTTCCTCGGGGGAACTTTCAGCGAGGATTCTTTTTTGTGGACCTGGAACGAGCGAACGCATACCGCAGGCTAACAGAACCACTTAAGAAAATATATCGGAAAGAAAGACATGGTTTGATACTTGCGGATAGGGCAGCATGCGTGGCGATGTGAGAGAGGGCCAAAATTCCTTCTTTAATTGCCTGGGGCCTGAAATTTCCCATGTTCTCGGGGGTTTACATGTTCTAAAGTTTTACAACCGTGCAGAAGTTTGGAAATATCATAACTTCTGCTCTGAAGTACTGGATTACATGTTCACGTAATCCATTCTCTAAACGTACACAGTGTAATTCAGGCTGTAACGTACACTGTGCCCTTCAAAGCCCTCCACTTCCTTGCTCCTCCCTACCTCTGTGACCTACTAACTCCATACCGGCCTGTCTGTTCCCTCCGCTCAGCGGGCTCCAGCCTGCTCCGTGCCTCCCAGCCAACCCCCACCACCATCGGTGGTCGGGTCTTTGACCTCTGTGCCCCCACTCTTTGGAACTCCATCCCACAGTCCTTTCGCCTCACCCCCATTCTTGCCTCCATCAAGGCCCGTCTCAAAACCCTCCTCTTCAACCGTGCCTTCGGTCACCTCACCTTCCTACCTCTACCCTCCACCCTTCCTGATCCCAAGCTCCAGCTCGGGTCCAAATCTCTGACCGTCCAGCACCTTGGGACGTCCTCCTGGGGTGAAAGGCGCTGCGTGAATAAATTTGTTGTTGTTGTTGTAATCCAGACTGTAACATACACGGGTTAATCCAACAACAATAATTTACACTTGGGTGGCGCCTTTCTCGTCGGGAGGATGTCCCGAGGCGCTGGCTCAGTCCAGCAATGTGCAAAGCCTTAACCAGTCTGGTAACACACACCGTGTAATCCAGGCTGAAACATACACAGATTGTAACATACGCAGTGAAATCCTGCCTGTGATGCTGCCACTTCAACTCATTGTCATTCCACTCATTGCTACTCCCTCCGGAGCCGGGCAGCTCCTGACGTTTATTAAAACCTCAGATTTATAGCTATGGGAAAAGACATTTTCACAAACATGATAAATATTAATAATAATCAATATTAACTTACATTTGCTAAATTGAGCTACAAACATTACCCTAGGGTGAAATCTCT